TATAATTCCTAATAATTCATTCAATCCATAATAAACCTATAATTTTAAAACATCATTCAAATTAACTGAATCATTAACATTCGACACAATATTACTATTCTAAGTTTTCATTCACAAGTCACATCCATCTCGCATGACAATTTGAAACAATACATAATTCAGATTTACAGCATCAGGAAAATTGTTTAATCCACTAAGTTTCCTTGATAGCCAATCAAAAAGATCCTTGCGGCCTTCCGTGCCAAGCTTCGCATCCATCAAAGCAGTAGTGATGTAAGGCACCTAATAAAGATACAGAATTGGAAAATTTATCAGAGAAGCATGATAAATATATAAAATTAATTAAAAAATAAACGAAATAGATCAATTGGAACCCAATAGTCGAGGCAATGCTCTTTACGTATGTGAATGTATTATAAATTTCTCACCTTTATTGGTTTTTCAAAACAATAGTCGAGGCAAGTTTTCTGGTACAGTACAGAACTCTCTGTGTCCATTTGGACTATCACATGAGGTTCTACTGGTTCTGATCGATTCCCCTCCCCACCTTGATCAACAAAAGAGAGATAATACCGGGAGTTGTTTGGTCTCACACAACCTTTTTTAACTTCTCTGCAACAACTCTTAAAGACTTCCACGAGTGGACAATACCGCTGACCAGGAACCTGTTTAAAATGAATGTGAGGAAACTCTAATCAAATTACATAAACCAAAGCAGATAACCAAGCTTAAATTCAAAAATATTATGATTGACTCATGAACACTATTAAATGATCTCAGGTATCACACGTCAATTCAAGCTATCCCACTTGAAATTAATAAGAAAATGGCAAGAGCACAAAAGTTGTGCCACTTTCAGTATAATGCATTCTCCAAGTCAATTTTTACAATATAGAAAACCATCAATAAAGAGCTGAAAACCCAAGCCATGGTTAACTCTCAATAAAAAATTAGAAAATCTGGAGAATCAACACCCATCTGGTTCACATGGTTCTTTCTTATCCATATAAGCACCATAACATAATATAAGGGAAAGAACTGCTAGTGACAACCAATGCATTCATAGCAGAAGACAAAAAAAAAGTGCAACAGCAATTGCTTAATGCTATTTTCATATGTCAATAAATCAGTAACTGGCTAACAAAAAAGTTGGAAGAAGCAATTGGTTACTGCTATTTTATGTCGGTCCAATACAACCAAGTGCAACAGAACCACTAGTGAATCACGCATGCTTTTGTAAACACATATGGTTGCTAAAATCAGGATCCTATGTCAGATTGATAAGTACAGGGTCTCGTGGATCAGATCAAATATTGTGTGTGTGTGTGTGTGAGAGAGAGAGAGAGAGAGAGAGAGTGAGAGAGAGACCATTAAACATGATGTATATTAAAATAATAAAGGGGAAAAAAAAATCACTGGCTCAATGATTCTACAAGATCCTACACTATCCTACTTGCAATTTTGCTATAATACTGATTTTATGCTGATTTGGATGTTATTCAGATCATGATTTTAGTAAAAATGGTGCCATCCCAGTTATTGACCATGCAAAATTTAGGAAGGCTGTATTAGAAAGTCAAGTAGAAATTCCAATATTAACTACATCATTAATATAATAAATTGAAAAACAGAGGAATAGTAAGAACGGGAAAAAATACATACCTAACATCCAATACACATCAGAATTTTTTTTAGCAATAACCAAAGCAATGGTTCTAGGTATGTTAAAAAAGAATATAGGCCACAAGATCAGTACTGGTGATGATAATGAAGAACTAAACAGTTCGATATCGTATTATGTAGCATCCAAGAATTAAGAACTCATCCACTCCCAAATAAAATACTCACTAACATGTAGAGCCAAAGATAAACTTTCATTGCAAGGGTGATTTTGTACTATGTCTACTGCTTCCTGATTGCTAAGGTGCTCCCATAATCCATCAATAGCAAATATGAGAAATCGATCATCTGGTTGGAGTTCATGCACACAAATTGATGGTTCAGCGCTTAATATTGGCCTTCTAAAAGGTTCGCGGAGGCGAAACTTAGCATACAAAGGCTCCCTGTTGAATTCAGCCTTTTTTAGATAAACATCACCAATTGATCTAGAAATCTGCAAGATGAAAACCCCCAAATAAGAAAAATCATGTCTAGCAATGCGGAAATGGAAATGCCAAATAAATTCATTGTTATGCCTGTTGTCCAACAAAATTTTCTTTTTTCACAAATCAGCTGTCACTCTATGGAACCGCTACCAAACTAAATAATCAATAATACAGGGTCCTGCCCATTTTCTAGGCTAATCAAGACAGGAAAGAAACTTGAGCATCCGAGCCCCGAAACATCAAGGTTGGGAGAACACCCAGGTACCACTTGGCCTATAAGGCCAATGGTGAGAATATTTTTTGTTGTAAATGTGAGGCAAAACCAACCATATATAAATTTCCCATTTCTCCTAATTCTGCTCTTATTTTTGTGATGTAATATTTGACATACATGCTTATTCAATGTTACAGAACAATTTTTATAAAAAAAAAAAAGAACGACACTTACCACCTTATAAATATACCATATGATACCAAACATACATGCACCAAAGACTAGAAAATTGTCAACCATCAACTATGTAACATCACAAGCCACCATAAACTAGAAATTGTCAACCGTAGACCATATATTTTTTCTATTCTCTTTTTATTTCATATATTTTTACCATTTTGCCATTGGTCCATTAGCTTTCCATCATGGTAATTGTAGGTTTCTCAAACCTTAGGGATTTTTTGCCTAATTGCCAAACCATAGAGGAGGTAGGTGAAAGTCTCCTCTTTTTCTATCTGACTCACATAAAAATTCAACAAGTACTAGACAGAGAGATGAACTACACAGCCTCAGCCATTACTCATTAGGCATTACCCCAGGATTAAACAACACAAAAACTCTAAAAGACAATAAAAGATCAAAAAATAAGAAACCCTATCACAAGGGGATCAAAAGAAAATTTGAGCTTTAACTATAAAACCTTCTAGCTCTACTGATTCTTCTATTCATCTAATAAATCCATTTAATAAAAAACTACAATTAAAACTAACCATGCAAATTACTCAACATTCTTTCTCACCCCAAAAAAATAAAATAAAAAATACATAAATAGATAGTTTTATCCTTTCGTGGCTTGATTCACAACCTATAACAGTCTAATCTCAAATTCATATATCCTTTCGTGCCATCTGTATATACTCAAATCAGTTAAAAACTATAAAAAAAAAAAAACCAAACTCAACTGAAACTACTTAAATAGCTAGACAACTTACCGCAAGTGCCTTCGCTGAAACACCTTCTGTCAAAATCAAGGTACATTTATCAGAGCTCTTCCCTCCGGCATCATTAGCATCTTCTAGTTTGGTAATCCCAGTTATCCTCTGACTCTTTGTCCCATCAGTTTTCTTAAGATCCTTGCTCTGCTTAAAATTTGCCCATGACAAGAGACTTTCCACTATTCCAGACTTGCACACTGCAGGAGAATTGACCACAAAAGCATCAAAATTACGCTCACAAAAGGAGTAAATAGCTTTTCTTTTTTAAAATTTATAATAATAATAATAATAAAGATTTCAAAATAATAGAACAAACCTTTCTTCAGGAACTCCTATGAAAGTTCACGTTTTGACCCAAAACTGCTTTGGCGAATTGTCAAAGTCTCTTTGGCTTGAGAATCAAAAGCTGGGTTGTCAATAAGAGCATTGACAAAAAAGAAAATGCAAATGCAAATGGTCTTCAACATTGAATTAGTCTTCAACATTGAATTAGATGTATGCATTTCAATCTTAGTTTTCTTTCATAATAATACCATAGTTTTCTTTCAGACATCTAAGATTGAAATGTATACATCTAATTTATAATAATACCATAGTTTTCTTTCAAACATCCAGTCTTCAACATTGAATTAGTCTTCAACATTGAATTAGATGTATACATTTCAATCTTAAAAATTATAAGAAAATGCATTTAGACATTTTATTTAGAGACACGGTACACTTTCTTCCCAAAACAACAAACTTAGAGAACCAAAAACCATTCTCTGACTTCTTCCCTTATTTTCTCTTTGTTATTAAACCAAATATATATATACATATATGTAAATTACATTGGCCTACCCTTAGGGATTGATGCAGACAAAGCTAGAGCAGCATGCAGGTTACATGACGATGTGGCTCCAAAGTGATAAAACTTTTGGTACTTAGTGATGGAGTTATTTCTTTTAGTTATTATGATAATATCATGTCTCTCTCTCTCCCTCTCTTGTCAATGCAACTTATCCAGGTAGTTCATGTGGGAATTTATTTCCTCTAACAACCCTCCATGCATGCTATAGTTGCTCCAGGCTCAATTTAGAGCTATTCTTTTCCAATCAGTTGTCACAATTATGGTTGGTGCCTAATTGAATTAAATGCATAATGATAACATCTTAATAACATCTTACACCTAATCTGGTGGCTCACCTTCTCCAAGTAACTGGTAATAGATTATAGGCCCAAAACATGACACTAGTATGACTGTTGGGCTGTGGTATTTCAGGGTTTTGTAGCTCAAGGCAAATCTGACTTGCCTGCTCTGTTTTGGTGCTTGAAGGGATGCTCTGATATCTTATCTGTTTTGATCTGTTATGCTGCTGTGTTGGTTTTAACAAACTTGGGGATTGGTTTGGATGAAGGGCTGCTACAGGTCAAGGCATTGTGTTTGGTCTGACTGTTGGGCTGTTGTAATTCAGGGCAATGTAGCTCAAGGAAAATCTGATCTGTCTGTTCTGTTTGGTGCCAATAGGAGTGCTGTTTTGCCTGCTGTTTTTTGCATTTTTTTTCTGCTTTTTGTGGTTTTTTTTGCTCTGTTTGTTTTGCTCGTTGGTTTCTCTCGCCAAAGCAAGAAAACAATACACCTGTAATTCCTAATAATTCATTCAATCCATAATAAACCTATAATTTTAAAACATCATTCAAATTAACTGAATCATTAACATTCGACACAATATTACTATTCTAAGTTTTCATTCACAAGTCACATCCATCTCGCATAACAATTTGAAACAATACATAATTCAGATTTACAGCATCAAGAAAATTGCTTAATCCACTAAGTTTCCTTGATAGCTAATCAAAAAGATCCTTGCGGCCTTCCGTGCCAAGTTTCGCATCCATCAAAGCAGTAGTGTTTCTTTTCTGGTAGGTACATATATAATTGTTGATCCTTCTAAATGACCTTGTTGAAGTTTTAATCCTTCTTCCCGTTTGTTAGGCGGATCATTTATCTCACGTAACCCACAAATATCCGAGTCCTTATCAGGCGATTGACCAAAGAATTCACCACAGGAAACTGCAAAAAATAGATTCTAAGTGAATGCTTCTCATAAGAAGAGAAAAAGAATTATAGGAACACATTCTTCAGTCCGGGGAAGAGGAGAATAATTTTTCAAAGATCCCCACTTTACCATGGATTGGACAATTAGAAGAGTAATAAGATAAATGAAGTGACTAGAGTCACTAGAAGAAACATGTATAGATGGATGCACACATGCATATAAACATGTATATAAACATCACATTATGCTTCTTTTTATCAGGCCTTTTCTTTCTGGTATATATATCTATCAATTCACAAAAATCCTTCTCATAAGAAGATGGGGATGATGTTCTACTATGCTTTACCTGTACATATCAAAAAATGAATAGGAAAGATTACTGCAGGAATGAATAGATGGATGCACACAGAATGTGACATACCACTATTCAAACAGGAATAAATCAGTCTCAGTTTGACAAATAATCCAGGCATTAAAGATGGAAGCGTCAGATCTTGACAGAAGGAAAAAAATGGTGCACAACATATTAGCTCCCCTTTATCTACAAAATGCAAGTATGGGAAGACAAGGTAGAAATATTATTGGTTTAATGGCTTAAATGAGATGTGCATTCCATGCAAAAAACAAGTGCTCTTGACATTCAGCAATACTTGGTCTACCTAATATATAGATATTGTACACGTCAGGACACTAACATTACTTGCTTATTAGCTATCTATGGATCATTTATTGTTCTAATAAGTCTTCTGAGATAGTGTTAAGTTCTAATGTTTTTATAATGTGCAAAATACAATTTTACTTATTTAATCTTTGTGTGAATATAATAACAATGAGAATCAACAGGAAAACAACTGGCAATAAGAAAGATTTCAACATATAATTCAATTCCATAGATAGCTCCGAAAGGAGGGGAGCGGGAATAGACAACATACTATCATCTTCAAGCAGCTGAAATAAGTTGGTGCCACAAACAACAATAGTTCAACCACATCAATGACTAAATCTCAAACGAATGAAGAAATGTCTCTAAAGCCACACCCAGAATGTATGACAAACATATTTGTCAAATGTGAGCCAAAACTACAACGATAAATATGGGTTAGCAAATTACACCTCTTGAGATTCTTATTTCTCATGGCAACCCTCTCCGCAGCTCAAGAAAGTGCTTCTTTGGGACTTGCTACCACCAGATCATCATCCATGCTGAGTTTTGTCTTCAAGTCATCTGGTAATGCCTACAAAATGATTAGATCAGGAAAAGAGTGCTTGGAAAAAGACATTAGAAGCTCTGGAAGTTTCCATACCATAACCTCATCTACAAGTTTCTCCAGCTGTATTTGTTCTAAATAAGTACGAGGAACGTATGACCCTTCCAATTCCAACTGCTCGGCCACATACTTTACAAGTAGGCGATCTTTTCCTTGCACCTGCAATGGAAATAGCATCCATTTTTAGTTAGAATTTTTAGCTCTAATGAAGAGATTAAAAGTTTAGAACAATTAAGAGACAAAAAAAATTATGGTGTACGGTTCCATCATTGTACTCTCTAGCAAGCAGATGATGAAAAATCTTGTATTACCTGAACATAATGGCGGTTTAGTTGTTCTAACCAATCAATTTTCACACACACCCTTTCATCAGAGAATACATGGCTACTTCGTTTTAGGATAGCCGCTATCGTGTATCCCAAGGCCATCAAGCCACCAAGAAGCCGCACACTGACTTCAAAAGTTATTCTTGGTGATATGACAAATGGAGAATCTGTAACCCATTCCTGAAATTAAAAAGGATAATTAGTCTGATTAGACAGCACTATGCAAGTCTTTTCATTTTTCTTGATATCAAAATTTGCAGCAAATTCAGAGAGCCAAAAAAAGGCTGATACCAAGCATAAAAGAGGGAATTGAATAACCTTAAGTTAATCTTGAATCAAATTAAAAACCAGAGACAAGATCATAAATAACTGATACCAACATTTAGCCTTTTTTCCTTATAGATTCTGTTTGGTTTCTAAGAAAGAAATTGGTTAATGTAGCCATTAAGCAACAAATTCAACAAGAGTTGCAGATATATAACCATGATGGTATGCTTAGCACTCGGCAGGTAGCAAAACATATCAAGATATCCAATGTGTCATACAGAACCCTCACCACCTTCAGTCCAAAATCCAACTAAAACTGTTTTATATTTAAAGATTTTTCATTCTTCAGTCTGTAAACATCAGAAAGAATTGCTTTGCTTCATAAAATTTGCTCAACAAAATATGACTCTGTGTATTTAGAACTACAAATATCTGAAGTTGTTAAGTAAATATAGGTTAAGATTATACACACAAACATTATGATTACAGTAGAAACTGTTAAGTCACCACTACTGCCAAAAGCTTAAGCTGTTACGAAATGAGTCCAACAATGTATATCAAGCTATCTAACACCCTCATTCACGTGCAACCTTGTCTTGCAAGTGGAGATGCAAATATCCGTGCATAGAGAGAAGAGAGAATGCAAATGAGAGACAAAACACCCATACATAAAGAGAAGAAAAAATGCACACAGGGACCAAATACAAACGTAGAGACTGGAACCCAAAACTTCCCACAACTTGAGCTCCAATACTATGTTAAGACACCACTAGTCTTAAAAGCTTAAGTTGTTAGGAAATGGACTCAACAAGTTATATCAAGCCATCTAACATAAGCAATATATATATTGAAGATTTTTTAAACAGCATCATTTTCTAAAAAATATGCTGACTACTAAAATAAGTGAAGGAAACATGATAAAGAACTAAACTTTTGAAGAACTGTCTGTGCATTCCTAAGGTGCCATTATTATAATAAAGGGACGAACCTCAAACATGAGATTGTATTTTCCATCTTTGTTCCGCATCCTCAAATATGATTGGCATGATTCAGGATCTTCACCAGGTGGTAGAAGATATATATCATAAGTCTGCTCCATAGTTTCTTTGTGTTCTTCTGACATGACAGCCTTGATTTCATCCACTGTCACTTTCTTTGATGACTAAAATAAAAATGCAGTACATAGCTATTAAAATAAATCTATATAAGTCAACATTGAAGAAACATTTCAGCTTTGGGCATTGATGGGCAATCATAAAATACGACAAATACATGAAATAACATAAGAAAGAGAGAATTAAGAAGAGACTAAACCTTCAAAATGTAAATAGGAGACTGAAACCCTGTGAATGGGTTGAACTTGTTGATGATTTTTATATTCACAATCTGCAAGATTTATGTGCCTTGATTTCAACAGAAGGAACATACTTTTAAATGGCAAATGAAGTGATTTTCTCCAGCATTTTCTTGCTGCATAGTACTTGTTGTCTTCCACTGCCTTAATTTTCTTTCCAGGGTACAGTATTGAACCCTATGGTCTCTCCTAGTTGTGTGGTTGTCACTCTTCATAAATGTCTATGTCCCAAGTACTAAACAAAAGCAGTGTAATAAACTATTGATCGTGAGTAGAAAGGTTGCCCTTTTGAATTCATTTGAAGCTTTCGTATGAAATGGATTTGCTTCATTTAATGCTATTTTCGTGGATCTATCTAAGAATTCTTGCTCTCCGGTGGTGATTGAAGTAATATTCTTTCCATCTTTTAGCTACAAATCATGTGTTATATCCAAATCCTCTAAAATTTATTGAATATTTAATATCCTCAAATCTGTATCTTTCAGATATAGCAATCAACGTTAAATTTTCTGTTCATTACATATCTCATCAACAATAGTATTTGGAGAATTCCATCTCATTCTGCTAATATATTTTTAAGCATTTTTGATAATATGCACATATATGTCATCCTGTTGTGAACAGCCTCCAATTGCATCCAAATATTAACTTCAATTCTCAATATCTGAAGCAAGAACAGGCTCAGGTTCAAGAACACTGAAGCATCATGTCTATGAAAAATTGAAGTTTGGACTATCTATGCATTTAGATATGTAAACTTTTGTTATATTCACATACTAAAATAAAAATATGGTTTTTTAAGTGGGAATGGCACACCCACGCATGAAGAATCCATGAACTAACAATTAGTGGTTAACTGATATGTCATTAATTAGACCTCCTTAGGGATGAACTGTTTTGCAAATATGAAACAAGAAAAGCAAAAGAAGAGATGCTAAAATCATTTTATAAAGAAAATTATCCCTTAGTCATTAGAAGCAGAACACCAGGTTATGGAATCATTTCTTTTGAAAACGACATAAACAAAATGTTGGTGCTTGCATAAATATTTAATAAGTATGCAGTAATTCACATTCAGACTTCAATGTTTTGAATCCTTATAAGGATTCAAAGGCAATGCAGTGAGAAACCCCCAAAAGGCAGTCATATTCCACCAACACAAGAATAACTTATAATATATGGCTACATAACAATTTCAAATTGCTTGAGCCATGAATAAAAATGTAGAATCTGAGGAGAAAAGTAGGCACAAAATATAGATTTGAGATATTTATGGTTATAAAATATTACCTTTGGCAACACCAATTTTCCATGAACTGATAAGCTAATTCAACAGCGCATCCTTCTCTATCCCTTGAGAACCAGAAACAAGACCTTCATCTTGTTTGGTTAGCATGTTCTGCAATGCATGGCCAAACTCATGGAAGACAGTCTCAACCTAATTATAGCAATCAATCAATGTGAAGATCATGAAACTGAAATGGAAAAATCTGCAGAACAGTTGCAGCTTATATGACTCCTCAAAAAATTGCAAACCTTCCAGTGATCAAATAAATAGATATAATCATATAGCCATTAAAAAATAATAGTAATATCTATCTCAGTTTTTAAACCCAATACTTAAAACATTCCCTAAAATCAGAAATAGTAACCAATACTTCCACATGAATTAGCATTTATACAACTTAAATTTATTCAAGTTCTGCTCCATTTGGAGAAGTACACACACAAGTATAATCCATCAATTTTTTGTAGAACACTTGAATATGAACATTTGAATTAAAAAATTATATAAATAAATAAATAAAAAGGCATACCTGAGAAAGTGTGGATGAATCAGATTCCATAGAGGCAATTTTTCTCTGTTTTTCCAATACAACCAAATTAATAAACTAGGTAGAAACAATCATCAACCGTTCTAAGTCAACACTGCCGTTCTCAGTCAAACAGTTAACTAATGAACATTAAAGAACAAAAAATCTTCAATAGAATTTGAAATCAACAAGAAGGAAAAAATTAAACCTAGATTTGAGGTAAGAGATGTGTATATTGATCCAATCTTTTGGTTTCTGAGGGGAAAAAAAGGAAAATATAAACAAAAAAAGAAATCTAAATCTTGAATTCATTGAGAGAAAAGTGAAGAAAAGAAAGAAAGTGAAAAACAGAGGTAGAGAATGAGAGGAGAGTGGTGTGTACCTCAAGGCTGAACCTGGAGCTGGACTGAATCAGCAAATCTGGTGCAGAGTTCTGATCAGAGAAGATCGAGGGGTCGATTGAACAGAAATGGAGAGAAAAATTAGGGCAAAGATGAACTGTCCATGTTCGATTTCATTTCCGACGCATTAATGTGCCTTGCCGCCTGATCATTCTCATCATAATCAGCCCGTTCCAGATAGTCGTTTTGACGAGTCTGGCGATAGTCCTTTGTAAACAAAGGTTCTGAAATAGTTGAGGGGAGTGTAGGGTCTGGATTTGAACATACGGCTTATAGAGGGATTGGAGAAGATCGAAGGTAGGGTTAGGGTTTTTAAACCGACGACCAGAGTGGAGAAGACAAAGGTAAGGTGAGGTGAATGGGGCGACTAAGCTTTGATCGAATTCGACTGAGGTGTGAAAGAGGCGCGTAGGAATTTTTTATGTGTTTGAATTAGTAAAGTTATCCCCTACCAAACTGATGGTCGTCTAATGAATTTGTATACCAAAACGACGTCGTTTTGGTATCAGCGACCAAATTATATTAGTCGCTAAAATAGCATACACAGCTCCCTTTTTAATTTCATTCTTCCGCCCATATTTTTGGCGACAATTAGTGTAATTTGGTCGGAAAAATTTACTTATTTGCGACCAAAAATTTTAGTCGGTAATAGTATCAATTTTTAGCTACGAAATTTACTTTTGGTTGGCAAATGTCACTTTTTTGCGACCAAAATTTTTTTGGTCGGCAAAAGTGGTCGGCAAATGTGTAAATTCTTGTAATGCTTTCTGATGCAAAGACTTGAAAAGATTCCAAAAGATTAGTTGATGTAAGTGTGATATTGTTTGTAAATTTGCTAACACAATATACACAAAGAATAATGGTAATTTCATTGTTACTGCACAGTTTTACTTCTGAAAATCCTAATTCAAAAATCTAGATGATTGAATAAGGTTTGATTTCAATGGAATTGCTATTCTTTTTCAAGGATCAATAAATTTTGGAAGGCATCCCACAAAAACTATCAAGTTAGATCTAATCTATGTATCTGTTTGATAAGCCATTAGGATTGATTTTCGTGGTTCCGTAAACCAGTTCCACAGTTGATATTGAGGTGCTTCTCCTTCCACTAGTCATTCTATTGCATCATGTTGCTCAGTTAGTTGGGTAGAATAAACTCATGTTGTGTTAATCAGGTAATGTCTAAAAGGTGGAAAATCAACTAAAGAGCTGTAAACATAAGAAGCTTGTCTTCACGCCTACACCGTTAGCCAAGTCATCATTCCCTCAACTCTAACTACTACATGTATTGAGTTTGAACTAGAATCATATGGTCATGAATAAAATTTTTTAACTAATTGCAAATATTATTCTCATTCGTTTGAGGTTTATAAAGTTTGAAAATAGGTCTCCAAATGCTTTTTGCAGCCCTAAAAAATTCAAGAAGTGATAATCCTAGGAATATTCATTTTGAGATTTGAAAAACTTGTGCCAATTTAAATTAAAATGATTAGAAATCCAATATTTGAAGTAGTGTTTATGAACTTGTGGTTAATTTTTTCTTTTTTTCTTTTTTCTCTCCCTATGTACAAAGAACATAAAAATATGTTTATTTTTTATTCTTTTTATTTTATTTTATTTTATTTTTGTAAAAACTACAATAAATAGCATGTTTAGCACTCGTTTGGCATAATTGTTTGGGGTTAAAATAGTTACAGAAAGAAAAAATAAGTTAAAAAGTTAATAAGACAAAATATTACATCTAAATCATAATCATTTTGTTTTTTATCTCACAAAAGTTAAAAAAATCAAAAAGTCCATCCCAAATGAGGCCTTTTAGCCCCAGACAAAATAGTCAAAAAAATCAAAAAGCTAACCCACAATCCAAATGAACCGTTAGTGCTACTTTAATAAAACAGTTAAGACTTATTTTTCAAGCCCAATGATGTAGCACTCTATTAAAATATTGATAAATTATAAATACACCTCTTGAAATTTGCTTAAAATATAGTTGCTCTTTGTGATTCTAAAAATTACATCTCACCTCTTTAAATTTCTAATTACATAACAAATAACTCATTTTATTAATAAATCATCAAATTAATTAATTGTTTTTAATGATATCATAAATATATTTCAATTAACAATTCAAATAATTTTATTGTTATATAGGAGAATGATTAAAATTTTCATCTTTTTGTTAATTATGTTAAATAAATTTTTTTGATAATGAGGTATTTGTAATTTTCAAAATTACAAAGGACAATCTATATTTTAAGTAAATCTTAGGAGGTGTATTTGTAATTACCTTAGAATATTTAAGTCAACTCTCTTTCTAATATTTTCTCTAATTATCAACCATTCATTTGTTTTATATTATACATCACTAGGTTTAAAAAGTGAGTTTATTAAATAGATTTGTATATCATTTTTTAAAATGAAAACAAGTATAATAAGTTACCAAAAGGGGGGAGTGGTCGAAGGTGATTGCCAGAGTGAAGACGGAAGGGTGAGGGTGGTAGGAAAGAATGACGCTTGTTTTGAAAATAAGTAAAATTAGAAATTTCTTATTTTCATAAATTCTAAGAACTGTAGCAAGATTTTTTTGAAAGTGAAAACAATTAGCAAATGTGTTTTTTATTCCGATTTCAAAAAATCTAAAGCTAAAGAAAAATAAATAAAATAAAAATCTCACTATTCAAAAATTTGTGAAGTTAGCAAACGTGTTTTTTAAAAGTGAAAACAATTAACAAATGAGTTTTTTATTTCAATTTCAAAAAATCTAAAGCTAAAGAAAATTTTAAAAAATTAAAAAAAAATCACCAAACGAACTCTAAGATTTACGATCCCAATTAAAAAATTTGTGAAGTTACCAACTCTCCAGGTTCAAAATTAGGACGTCAAATAACAAGCTCTCGGACTACTAAAAAAACAAAAATGTAATAGAGAAAAGAAAAAAAAAATAGAGAAAAATTTGATCCCAGTATAAATACAACAAATCAAGTACCAAGAGCGCATGAAAATAAATAAATACATAATAAACATTCTAAATGTGGTGGTGATTCAATAGGATTAGAGCTCTCTCCTCCCTCACTATCGATAATTTCCTGTCCCACAGATAAGTTTTATGTCCCCAATCCAAACTTCTGGGATGTGTGCAATTTTCCAATTATTCTCATGCTTTAAGTCTCCGATCATACTCGAAATCAATCTATCAGACATATCGACCAAATCAAGTGATTTAAGGCTGGCTAGATGTTCAATGCCAGAGGGTAACTCTTCTACCAATTCACATTTCTCGATAATTATGCTTTCAAGATGAGGCATCGAGCCAACCTCCACTATTACCCATCTCAACTCATTGAATTTACCAATGTACAAATGCCCAAGCCGTAAAAAATCAAGTTGATCGGATATCAGAAAACATATGTTCGAAAAACTGTTTATTAATTTCTTTAAAAAATAGTTTTTAGTTCAATTTTTCGAACACATACTGATATCTGATCAACTTGATTTTTTACAGGTATGATATACTGAAAAAATCATAAAATATAAACGGTTCGGATTATCAAAATTGGGCCTAAAAGTAGACCCGAAGGCCTGCAAGGACGGACGCAAGCACAAGCTTGCAAGGAGAGGCTCCTGACTCCTCTCCTCCCTCACTATCGATAATTTCCTGTCCCACAGAAAAGTTTCGTGTCCCCAATCCAAACTTCTGGGATGTGTGCAATTTTCCAATTATTCTCATGCTTTAAGTCTCTTATCATACTCGAAATCAATCTATCAGACATATCAACCAAATAAAGTGATTTAAGGCTGGTTAGATGTTCAATGCCAGAGGGTAACTCTTCTACCGATTCACATTTCTCGATAATTATGCTTTCAAGATGAGGCATCGAGCCAACCTCCACTATTACCCATCTCAATTCATTGAATTTACCAATGTACAAATGCCCAAGCCTTTGAAATCCACCAGCCTTAAAACACAATCCTTCCCCTTCATATGTCTGAAGAAGTCCAAGACTAATCAGATTGGGCAAACCTTGAAGGGATTCCAGTGGATCAACATCCCTTAACTTACTCCCTGCTAAATTTACTTTTACCAAACTGTGCAGTGATGATATCCAATGCGGTAGCTTACGTAAACTTCCTTCTAGGCCAAGCGTCCGAAGAAGTTGGGGTGGAGAAGAAAGAGAATCTAGATCAATGATCTTATTTTCTTCCGCTGCACAAACAATCAATGAGCGAAGGTTACTCAGCTTCTCAAGGGACGAGCACAACACCCTCCCATCTTCACTTCTCAATTTGCAAATGTGTATTTTCCTCAGTTGAGTCAACTTCCCTACCTCTCTTAGTAAAATGTCACCATTACCATGGTTTGCTTCAATACAACAAAGTCTTTGTAAGGATGACAAACTTCCTATTTCCACTGGGGCTTTGAATCCGATATGGAGATGAAGATATATACAATTAACTGGTTCGTATCGATACAACAAGATATGGCGAAGTCGTTGGAGCTTCAGGATATCATCAGGCAACTCAGTGACATATGTTTCTTTAAGGTCCAATGTTTCCAGGTTTCGAAGCTTTCCAATCGACTTCGGAATTATTTTTACATTGGTTTCCCTCAAACTTAGATACCTGAGTTGAAGTAGTTCCGAAACTTCATTTGGGAATGTATCCAACCAGGCACCTCTCAAGTCCAACATGGTTAGCAGTCGTAGACCATCACTTGACGATGCAAGCATGGAAAACTTGGACAGTGTACTTGTAGTACTGAACATGAGCAAAGAACGAAGTCGAGTGAAACGCTTGCTTTGTTGTCTATCTTCCAAATGATTTTGGATTGATAAGCGCCGCACCTTTTCGGGCCACAATCTGCCTTGTTCATGGTTAGCTATTGTCACAATGTTTTGCTCTTCACATTTCAAAACAATAATTTCACGCCAGAGGTCGTGGATGCGATACGCTTTGCCCCGTCCATCTGTTCTTCTCTCTACCACTTGAACTAAGCTTCTACTGATTAGCTCTTTGAGGTATCCCTCTGCAACTTCTTCTATAGTCACATCATTCCTGCTTTCATTTCCACAAAGCCTTCTGCCACCCATAACCGAATCAGTCTCGAGTGTTGAATCAAATAATCCTCTGGAAAAACACTTAGATACAGAAAGCAAAACTTTAGATAGTAAGGTAAATCAATGTAACTGAGTGACAATATTTTCTTCATGCTTAGGAGTTTGTCATTTCCTTCAAGTTCTGCACCAAGGCTGCGGTAGATCATATCCCACTCATCCACACTGCTCTTATCCTTTGTTGATAAAAGACCACTAATTGCCACAATTGCAAGCGGCAATCCCTCGCATCTATTCAAGATGGCTTTTGAAAGTCTTTCCAAGTGTGAAGGGCAAGAATTCTCCATAAATGTTTTCCTGCAAAACAGTGTCCAGGACTCTTCGGGAGTCAAGGGCTGAAGATTATAGACATCCCCATGATATTGCGTACTAGCAAAAGAGGCTAAATCTGCATTTCTGGTTGTCAGCACTACTCGACTCCCACAATTGCCAATGGGAAACACATGTCTAAAAGATTGCCAGTCATGAATATACCATACATCATCGAAAACAAGCACATACCTCTTTTGTTGCAGGAAATCATTAATTATCCCTTTCAAGCTGTTGGTATCCATGTTGTCCATCCTTTTTGGGGCTGGTTGCTTGATTTCTTCAAAAAGTTTTTTGATGATGTCTTTTAGGAGCACCTCAATCTTGAAGGATTCAGAAACGGTGATCCAAACATGGCTCTGGAAATGATTCTTCACAACTGCATCATCAAAGACCTTTTTAACCAGTGTCGTTTTGCCCAATCCGCCCATTCCTGATACGGAAAACACCTTGAGTCTGGGGTCTTCGTGCACCAACCACCAAATTAGTTGCGATTTAGGCTTGTCGATGCCCACAAGCTCAGATTCATCGAGTAGAAGGGCATCGTCACGATAATCATGGCATGCTGCGTTAAGGCCAGTGGACCTGGAGCTTGAGCCTTGCTCTAACATACCATATCTTTTATGGTATCTCTGATGTCCCTTCGAAATATCGATGACTCTGGCCTTCATTCTTTGAACTTCAGAAGCAATTTGGTGACGAGCTTTTAAAGTCTTAATAAAGCAAGAAACCTTACAAAGAAAACCGCGAAATCCAGCGCCATGACGATGTCCGAGGCGAAGCATGTACAACTCGAGAACATCTCCAATGTCGTACGCAGCTTCTCGGACTTGCTTGACCCATACTTTGAGTTCAGGGTTGTTGTCTTCGATAGCATCGGCAACTTTGAGGAAAGCTGTCATGCGCTCGAATTCATCTCTGATGTATTCGATCTCTTCTCGAACCCCAGTCAACAAATTGGCCTCTTGTTGGAGGAAGGGTGTGAAGTTGGCTAGTAGATGGAACACTGCACTCTCAGTCATTTTTTTTTTAAAAAAAATGTGTTTTGTTGCAGAGGAGTAGCCTTAGTTGGTTGGGTTCGAAGGGAGGAGGAAGATGAGAAAATCAGAAATGTGAGTCCAACTCTGAACTGAGTTTGTGATTAAAGGTGAGTAGTGAGTTAGAAAGTCAAAAATGTTTTGTAACTGAGCTTTTATAGGTGGGTTCCATTTTATTAATATGATATTTTATTTTTGTTTTTTATTTTGTATTTTTCTTCTTTATCTTTATCATATTTGTTAGGTCCCTGTGTTGTCAAATCCGGAGAAAAAATCTTGTGTTGATTCAAAACTATGTTTTTCTGTTTTTGTACTGTCCGCTCGAGCGGAGACTCTTGAGCTCGAGCGTAGATTAGCAGGTCACAGTAGTTTGACAGGGCAAGCACAGATACTGGTGGGTGTGATTTGACGCTCGAGCGGAAACTCCTACGCTCGAGCGCATCTCTGTTTCTTCGTATGCAGTTTTTGTTCAGTCCGCTCGAGCGGGATATGTTGAGCTCGAGCGGAGATCGCGATTCAGATTCCTATTTAAAGCTGCTAACGTTGTTTTGTTGGTGAGGTTTTCCTAGATCTGATCAAAACAAACTAGGGTTGTGTTTAAAGTCTTCTTGGGAGATTTTTGAGAGTTTTTCTTGATGTCTTGAGAAGAGTTCTTCACTCAGGATCAAAAAATACATACATCAAGGAGTTGGTTTCTTTAAATTCAAGAGAGAGTTCTCTTCGGTGGATTCCGAAGATTCTAGCATATAGTTTCGAAAGGTGTTTGATTCTATATGTGGGTGAGGTTGTGGAATCAACTTCAAGATTGATCAGTTCCGAGATGAAGTCGTGAAAAAGAGTTACAGAAGATTCGAAGACAGATTGACTAAGTTGGGTAATTTGTAAGATATCTTTGTAATATTTTTACTTCAGTAGTGGATTGATTTATGGCGTTTCGCCCGTGGTTTTTTAATCACAGTTGGAGGTGTCCAATTGTGGTTTTTTCCACGTAAAAATCGTTTTGTGTCGATTTATTATTTAATCTGACAAAACAAACAATCTAAATCACTTTCGTAAGTGCTTGTTGATTTAGATTGTGTGTTTTGGATTTTTGGGATTTGGAATATTTTAATCTTGATCTAATCACGAATCACTTAGATTTTCAATATTATTAGAATTCGCTTTAAAATTCAAAATTTAAAACTCTTTATTATTATTGTTTGAAAATTGGGGATTTGTAATGCTGAAATTCAATTGGGGGTTTCAGTGATCCAGGTGGGGGGCACTTGTTTTGACGTGTGAAATCTCTTTTTTTTTTATTACTGTTGAACAAAAATGCTTGAGATTTTTTTTTAGAATCTTCATAATTCTTTTTAAATTTTAATTATTGATGTATATATAAAATCTATTTATATATGTATAAAATTCACATTATCAATAAGTGAGATCAAAAAAGGGTTATAAGAATCCAAAAAAAAGATTCGCTGGCTGTTGAATTTGTTTTTTGCGGTTCACATGGAGCCGTCTTGACCAAATAAAAAGGAAAATTTCTCGTAGCTCAAATTTTGTGGCTCAAAAGTGGCTCAAATGGCCAAAACGACGTCGTTTTGGCTATTTTTATGTTGTTCTGTACTCAAAACGACATCGTTTTGGCCATTTGAGCCACTTTTGAGCCACAAAATTTGAGCTACGTAGCATTGTCGAAACAAAAAATAGAAAGAGACAGGAGTGGGGATTGTTATAACTGCCCCACATGGTATCGATCAAATTCAAGTAATCTCACATCTAAGGTCTCGTTTAGAAACAGTATTTTTTTTTTAAGTAATTTTTAAATTTTTTAACTAAAATATAATATAAAAAAAATTAGTATGTTTAGAATAATTTTTTAATTTTTTATAAAAAACATATGTAAAAAGTAGAGGAAAAATATAATCTTTAACTTTTTGGTATAAGTTATTGATTTTTTAATTTTTTTAGTAATTTTTTGACTTTTTAACTAAAAAAGTCACTTGCAAACGAGGCCTTAATGGGAAATTCAGCCATTGTTTGGGGTGTGAATTAGTTTTTTGGTTTTATAATTTTTTAGTTATTTTAATTTAGGGTTAAAATTTTTTATTTGTGATGAATTTTTGAATTTTTTTATTTTTGTAAGAGAAAAAATAAAATAATTATAGTTTGAATATGATATTTTATTTTATTAATTTTTTAGCCTATTTTGTTGGCTAATTTAGTCTAAAAAGTTTATGCCAAACATTGCTTCAATTGTATGCAATTTTTTTGTTACAATTTTTATGTCTTGATTATGATTTATTATATTGTTAGTTATTCACAAAAAGATAAAATAGGCTAAAATAGTTAATAAGACAAAATATCACATCAAACTCATAATCATTTCACTTTTTCTCTCACAAACATCACATCCAACCATAAAAAAATCCAATCATCTTCCCAAACACAAAAATTTTAACCTACTAAAATAGCCAAAAACTAAAATAGCCTACTAAAATAGCAACTTCCCAAACGAAACCATAATTTAAAATTTCCTTTTTCTTCACCATGAACGTGTTTCGTGACTCACATGACCCTTCTTGCTCAAGGAAAAGCCAAAAGGGAACATGGGAACGAAAATTAACGGAAAATATTTTTTGACGTTGATATAATTGAAAATGAAAATTGATGGGAAGTATATTGGGCAAAACATCAATAAATTTTAAATTTTAATTTGTTAAATTATTTGGTTCTGTCTTTTATTTTGTAGACTAATAAGCCCTATTTGAATGTTAAAAGCTCATTTTAGGCCTTTTTTAGATTTTTCTCCTTTCCAAACATCAGCAACATCATCAAAACATTATCAAACATCAGCAACGTTCTGTTTATATTTTTTTTATCAAAACAAACATCACAATGTCATCGAACACCAGCAACGTTCTGTTCATATGTTTTTATCAAAACAAACATCATCAAATATCAGTAACGTTCTATTCATATCAAAACATCATTAACGTCATCAAACATCAATGTTTTGTTATATTGTATAAACATCAAGCAATTTAACATCAGCAACGTTTTGTTCATATATTTTTATCAAAACAAATATCATCAACGTCATCAAATATCAATGTTCTGTTATATTGTATAAACATCAATGTTATGTTATATTGAAATTGCTTGATGTTTATACAATATAATAAACAAAGATACCATACCAAATATAAAAAGGACTAAATGGTTTACCAAAAAATACTCAGGACTAGATAAAGCAACATTTCCTAATATGAAATTTATGGGTAATTTTTCCAAATATTTTTAGAGCATTGTTATTTATGTCTAAAAGTTAGATTTATTTTTTAAATTTAGTGTCATGCTAAGAAAATAATTGGTATGAACCAATCATTGAGTTTAGAAAGTAGACCTAAAAAGTGTACTTGTATATTATTTTTCATATTTTTAATGGTTAACGAAAAATAACCATATTTGAACATAATATATTTTCTACTTTTAAAAAGGCAAAAAATACTTTTTGATCTAATAAATCACATCTCACAAACAAGTACTCCAATTAGGCTCAAATTTTTTTTATTGATCTTTTAAATCCTATTAGCGGAGAATTTCTTTCCGTGTGGTCTTATTTTTTATTTTGGTAGTGTTTTGGTAGACAGTTATACCCTTTTATTAATATGACAGGTATAATATGATACTCTAATGTGACGGTTATTAGTAGAGGCGGAGACACATAGGGCCTAGGATGGTCACGTGTCCCCTCGGGTTTTTGAATTTTTTTTTTTCAAACATAAAGAAAATATTTTAAATAAAAAAATCTATAAAAATATTATTTAAAGTGAAATGTCAATGACATTTTTAAAATTATAAAAACAATAATGGTTGTTTTGATTGAAAGTAAAGAGACTATAATAAGTTATATTATTATTTATGAAAATTTTAATACAATGGTGATGCCTATCATTATTGACATGCAAATATAATTAATCTTAATGAAGATATGAAATTTATTGAATTGTTAGTTACATTTGACATGTAGAGTTTATCCTCCATGTGTTTCTTTTTATTCATAACTAAAATGACTACTATATAAATCATAATCAAGGAACACATCTTCAATTACACAAAAAATAAAAAAATTACAATAGATCATAACTAATATCAAAATGAGTTATAACTAACTATTACTTGATATATAGTCATAACTAAAATAACAACCATAAGAAATTATAACTAAATTATATCTAACATTATAATGTGTCATAACTAAAGAGTACGAAAATCATAATTGCGATATATAATAGACACTTTATTTACAGTATGTTTTATAGAATTTTTTTACTAAAATATATCATTTCTATCTCAATTTATCTTCTTTTAAGTTTAGCAATATTTCATTGTTGTTTATTATGAAAAAAAAAAAATTCAATATTGTCATTAATTTGTACCCCATTTTCATTGAATTCATGGCTACGCCACTGGATACTAATATGACACTCCAAAAAAAATAAAAATTCCTTAGTGTACTTTTTTTAAATGTGACAACGTGACGAATATGATATGACACTCCAAAACTTTTACTCTAAAAAAAAAAAATCCTTATTATATTTTTTTCAAACGTGACAACGTGATAAGTATGATGTGACACTTTAAAAAAATAAAAACTCCTTAGTATACTTTTCTCAAATGTGACAACGTGACAAATATGATATGATATTTTAAAAAAATTAAAAACTCCTTAATGTACTTTTTTCAAACGGGACATGTAACACTCCAACGTAATGAGTATGATGTGACACTCTTAAAAAATTAAAAACTCTTTAGTGTACTTTTCTCAAATGTGATACTTTAACATGACGAGTATGATGTGACACTGAAAAACTCTTTAGTGTACTTTTTTTCAAATGTGACACTAATGTGGCGGGTAAATAAGCTATTACACATCCAAAAGGACTAAATGGATCATAAGAAAAAAATATTAGACAATATGAATTACAAGTCTAAAA